GAAAATCGTTAAACAGAGGCAGCGTACCAGGTGTAAGTACTTTCTTTGCCAACTGGAACTTGCAGGATAAGTACACAGGTTTTCATAAATCCTCACAAGGCCTTTGCCTGAATTTTGTGCTGTGGGAGTAAACCTCCACCATGATTTTCCCTCATAATTACATTGATGGATTAGGTAATAATTCGATTTTTTTCTCCCCCAGGCTTTCATAATACCCACACACTTGAAACATGAAAATCTTCCAATTCCATGTTAAAAACCCTCCCTACCTCCTGGATTCCTCTTCTTCTGCCTTTGATCTACTTATGTTTGAAATGATATTACACAGTGGTATATAGTTTATAAATAATTTCATTTAATACTCAGAACCTTTTGTGGTCTTATAACCTCAGAAAGGGCAGGAAACCAGCCAGAGATCTGGGTGGTATCTGATGACTCTCCTTCTTTCTAGTAAACTATAAAGTCATAAAGCTGAGAGTTATTTGGAGCACTGGAGGTCACCATTTTTTATGCCGATGCTGAGAAGCATTGTTAGTTTTAAAGTTTTTTTTTAAGTTTAAGGTTTTCTACCCCCACCCCATCTCAGAAGGAATAAGAAAGTGCTTTCCTTTGTTGCTACGATGGATTCTTCTACTTGTGTTTATTATCTCCTCTTCCCTCCCATCTCCTCAGGAACCTTGCTGCTCCATCAGTTAAGCCCCCTTTTTTCTTGTTACTTTCCTGTCCCCCAACCCCCAACCCCTCTGTCTCTTGGGACATAATCCTACTCAGTTCTCTTAAAAACAAAGGGTCTCTCTCTGTTCTGGTTTGCTTTCAACTCCTCCCTGCCAAGTATCATGGCCCAACTGCTTGAAAGCCTTTCCACCACATTTGGTTCCCAAATGCCAGTCTGTGGACCGACTTCTAGCAATCACCTAAACCAAAGAATCTCTTGCTTTTAAAAATGTCCCTTAGGTGATGCTGAGTGCAGCTGGCTTAGGGACCTGCCTTCTTTGAGTTCTCATCTCTATTTGTTCCTTGGTGGGCTGAGTTTGATTTCTGTCTCTAGTACCCCACTGGTACTGATCTAGCTAAGAGCACCAAAGGTGCTCTTAATTTAAAAAACCTAATGGAGACTCTAATTTCTAATTTATTTAAACTCTCTGTAATATTGTAACTATTAAGTACTCTGTCCTTCAAATTCCACCTCTCTGGATTTCCAGATCCTCCCCTCACCCCACATGTTTTTCTACTATTGATGTTCTATCTAGGTCCTATCTGTTGGTCTTCTCTCATCCCTGTACCTATCCAACCACAGTCTTGGGTGAAAGTCCTCACATTTCCACATTTAAGGGTTAGTTAATCCTTGTGCTGGTGATTTCTGAAATCTGTATCTCTAGCCCATATTCCTGAATCCCAGAACCACGCATTCTACTGTATGCTTGATATTTCTCTCTAGATGTGCCACAGGTAGATCTCAAATCCAGTAGGTTCAAAACCAAACTTCTGCTCATTCTGATGCTCTTAATGGCCATCCTCTTGTACTATTCCCCCTTGCCTCACTCATCCTTCATTGATATAGTCTACCTCCTATTATTTCTTTTTTCCCCTCTATTATTTCTGTTCCCTGCATTTTTCTAGAGTTTGCCCATCCTTCTCTGTCCCCATTGCCTTAATTTGGGACTCATAATTTATGGCCTGGATTATTGTGAGAATCACTCCATTGGTTTTTATATTTGTGGTCCTTCCTGCAGTTTATTCTCCACATTGCTTTCAGAGTGAGCTGCTTACTGTCCTGCTTAAAATAACATAATGGCTCATCATTGCCTTTAATGAAGTCCAAACTCCTTTACTTGGCATATAAATTCCTCTCTAACCACCCTTTCCCATTTCTTCAACCTTATCTTCACTACAAACACATTTCAATTTATCCATGAGCTTCTCAGAGTTCCCTAAACAGGCTTATTCTCTCATGTCTTTGTTTACTGAAAATATTGTTAGTTATGGAAATATCCCTTTCCCATAGGTCCCAACTATAGCCCATCATTGCCTTTGTGCAAATTAGAAGCAGATGCTTCATGCAGGCAGTCAGTTCTGTGGGTGCTCAGGTTGGTGGCTGGTAGTACTTTTGCGGGACATAGAAAAAGATACCTGTGCTGTGCTGAGACACCCCGTGCTGGGATATTGGGCTTGGTGAGCTGAATGCCAGCCCTCTTTTAGCCTCCCCAACCCCTTTCCTGGCCCCCCTGAGTAGTGAGCAACCTGTGTAATGAAGTGAAGTAGCCCTGCTCCCATCAGCTCCTCCTCCTGGAAAACTTGCTAAGATTGATCTCTGTCTCGAATTTAGACCATGGTTCTTATCCTTTAATTTGGTCATCAGCCCCTTGGTGCATCTGAAGAAAGCTATGGATGAACCCACTCTCCATAAAAATGAGCATCCTCTTAACATAGAGTTTACTCATGAACCCAAGGTTAGAAACCACATTCTGAATGTTAATCAACTTGGCTCCTGTGCCCAGGATGGGGTCTGCCACTTAGTGGACACTAGATTAATGTTTGTGGAACTGTTGAAAGCACTACTTTATGCTTTTTCTCTGGTCATATTGTTTACAAACCTGTATCCCCCCACATATTTTATACATTGCCATCATTTCTTTCTTGTCTGTGTTCCCAGCTAGCCTCTGAAATTTTCCAGAGGAGGCACTGCTCTGTTCATATCTGTATTCTCAGCATCTAACATAGTACCAAGCTTATAATAGGCATTTGATAAATGTTTGAACAAATGAGATTCAGTAATATTAAATGATTTGCTTAAGGTTACTCAGTGGTGGTGGATCTGGAGCTGGTTACATAATTATTTCTTTTAGAACCCATGCTCTTAGATATTTTAATTAATTAATTAGAGTGTGTGTGCATGTGCAAGCAGGGTGGGGACGGGCAGAGGGGGAGGGAGAATCTTAAGCAAATTCGACACCCAGCACGGTGCCCCACGCTCAGTCTCATGACCTAAGCCGAAACCAAGAGTTGAACACCAACAAACTGAGCCACCCAGGTGCTCCTAGACATTTTACATTTATATATATATATACATTATATATATATATATATATAAAGTATGGTTGGATGACTCCTTAATTCTCTGTTATATGGAAAGAAATAAATAGTATGACTAAATGTAAGTATTCAGATTAGCATAATAAACAGCTCCTACACTGATAGGTATTGAATATAATTTCTTAAATACTCTGGTATTTTGCAAAATACTTCTCCATCGACTTCTGAGGGATAAACAGATCTTTTTGTACAGAATTTAGCTACTGAGTAACTTTTCATGAGTTGAATTCAATGATAATCTATTAGTGAAGAGATCAAAACTGGGTTTCCAATTTTTGACCTTGCTAAAGGAACCTAGCCCTGGTCTCCAGATGCTTGTGTGGTTTTCTCGCTATTTTCAAAGTAGCATTCCTTACAGAGGTTCAATGAATCCCTACTGCTTGCTTGCTGTCTTTTACTGCCCCCCACTTTTTTCCAGAGATGTGGGGCCTCATCACAATTGATCATGTTGGCCTCATGAATCAGGATTTTTTTTTCTAGGTTGAGAGCCTGTTGATTTGGTTTCACAATTCTCTATTAGTTTACTTCCTAGAACTTGTTTCATGAATAATCCAATTGCTTTGTATTATAATTGATTCCTTTTGTAATAAACCTCCTTTGTTTTTTTCTGAAACTGAAAGCTCCATTTTACTTTACTTTTTTTTTTTTTAAGATTTTATTTACTTATTTGACAGAGAGAGAGAGAGCGTGCACTCGTGCACGCACAAGCAGGGGGAAGCGGCATGCAGAGGGAGAAGCAGGCTCCCCATTGAGCAGAGAGCCTGATGCAGGACTCCATCCCAACTCTGGGATCATGACCTGAGCCGAAGGCAGATGCCCAACTGACTGAGCCACCCAGGCGTCCCTCCATTTTACTTTTCAAAACGGGACTAGTAAGTGGTTCTGTGTGAATGAAGACTTCCATGGAAATGAACAACATGAACAGTTTTTCCCCTTCTTCAAAAGATGGAGCCAAACTTATGTCAGGGTTTAGAAGTAATGATTTCCATTATTCCCTTTTCACAGGTCTTCCTGCTAGGCAAATCCAGTTCTTTCATTAAAGCAAACCCAGCTGCTTGCTGTCTCCCTTGGATTCATTTAAAACTTCAAGTCTCTCCTGTGTGGTAGCACTTGTTTTAACTCACATTAAACTTGTTTTCTAGGAACTTCACTTGTTTTTCATAGGCAAGTTTAAAAAAAAAAATGACAGTTATGTCATAGTGAACAAAAAGCTCCAGGGTTATTTAAGTTGGATTAAAATATGCCAGAGTCTTGGTGACAGTAATATCAAATATGAAGTCCTTTGTTTCTAGGTTCACCAAACAACTAATTAAAAAAACTTTTTCCGTTCCATTTTTTATGACATTTGCTGTTCAGTCTCTCAACAGCTTTAAGTATCTGATTCTAAGTCAGGAGGGAGTTGAGTCGGCTTATTGAAAATCTTTTTCTGAATGCTTTAATGGAATGTGGGTGGGATATATATATCTATATATATAGATATATAGATATGTATATACAAACACACACACATATATATAATTTTTTATGAACTACTTAACCATTTCTTATAATTTTCATTCAACATACTTGGTGTGGAAATTTCATATTTCCCTTAAACCACCTTGAAAACACTTCTTAAAATATAAATGTTGCCATCATTTGAACTACAGAATAAAAATGTGAATACTGATCCTGTGATTATACCAATCAAGTTGGGAGAGGGGAGCTGCGGCAGGAGTCTGGGGCTCCTGGCTTTCAGTAAACAGTACCCATGGGTTGAAAGGACACATCTTGGAAGCCCTGCTAGGTACCATCTTGGACTACTGGGGCCACTTGAACTTAAGGATTTTGGACCTTGGTTAACTTTAACACCATGATTCTGCTTAAAGCTTCCCTAATAGGTGGCATTTTGATATTTGCAATTTCAGAGCAATAAACTAGAGGAGAAAAAAAAACTTCAAGAAAACCTCAGAAGAGAAGCATTTAGAGAGCACCGGCAATAGTAAGTTTGTATCTTCAGAACTTTGTACCTTTATAGGCATATTGTTCATCTGCTTTTAAGTTCTAGGTGCTGGTAACTGTTTAAGACCTCTGGTATTGGATTATTGGCTGTTACATTAATTATGTAATTAAACTCTGTCATTATGTAAGTGAGGTTCTGAGGTTCACAGAGTATTCTTTAGTAGTTAATCGATTTGAAATAATACTGCTAAATTTGAGAAATTCCCCATTCTAAATAACTAGGAGGACTGATTCTTTGGTGATCCAAGGTACTTCTGATAATGTCGACTTTCAAAACACTGATATAAAGAAGATGATATTTGAAAAGAAGTACCCAAGCAGAATCTGAACTAACTAGGGGTTTATCTAATGCACTGGGGACTAGTCACACTTGTATTTTTGTAGACAAAAATTGAGAAATAATTTAGCAGTTACTGGCAAAATTCCCGGTTGGTGGTCATCCACCAAGGTACTTTTTCTAGTAGGACTTGTGAATATCAGCAGCTAATATGTATAGGGCAACTACTATGTGCTATATTGTAGGTAATCTACTCTGTTATACAGGCTTTAAAGATAAGCTCCTGTCCTAACTCAAAGTAGCTAGATTACCTGCAAGCTGCTTAAAAGAATAGAAAAAGCCCAAAACCATATTTTTATTATAACTTAGGAATATATATATATAAAATACATAACCTAGAAATTAACCTAGGTTAATTCCAAATGTGGTAGAATTAAAACCAAGCATATCTGGATTCAAAGTCTTAGCTCCATTCCCCAACTGTGACCTTGGACAGAGTATGAAACCTCATTTTTTTTTTTTTTTAAATAGGGATGACAGTATCTCTCCCATAGGCCATTTGTAAGGATTAAATAAAATATTTCACATAAATGGCATATAAGTGCCTGAATTTTATGGAAATGGAACTATGCACAGGTGTCTTTGTTGAGTGGATCAGACAACTTCTGTTTTGTAGTGACTATTATGTAGAGATTATTCTGGTCCCACCCAGAACTGGCAATTGGCCTCCACTTTCGGGTGGATTGTTATCTGACTCCCTCCTCTTCTCTCTTCCCGTCCTTATACCTCATTTTCAGAATTTAAGATCATTCTCTTATTGGGGTGAGCATATGTGACACCCTAAAGTATCTTGCGTCCTCTGTTTTTCTCATTCCATGGCAATTATCCTGCCTCTATCCTAAGCAGCTCTTTCTTGCTTTAAGTCTCCGAGGGAGGAGTGGGAAGGAGTTTCTCAATGCTTTACTTTGCCTCTTAGCAAGTGAGGTACTTGGTTGTCTTCTGCTACCCAGGCCAGAAAAATGGGAGATGGAATGTGTTGGGTAGAAGTGCCAGTGAGTGACATTATCTTTCTTAAGTTAAAATAAACGTTGCCCTCATTTGAGTCATAGAATCCATAGCCTGTTTTCCCCTGCAGTTCTTCTAAGACTGGTATGGGGCTGAGGGAGCTGGTGGGAATCTAAGGAGAAGCAGTCTTAGAGAGAGAGATGGCAGGAGAGAGGCAGTAGATCAAGGGTGTTAATATATTATTGCCTTTACGTTCATTGGTATAGGATGGATGAAAGTATTTCTAGGCCAGCCAGAGGAGTTGAAGGAGACAAGGGGATGCCATGGGGGCAGTAGTAGGCTAGAGAGACAATAAAGACAAATGTATTTATCCTGTGTCATTCTAGCTTCACTGGAAAAGGAAAGAGCTGCTTACCAATGAAGGGTCTTAGGTATAGGACTAGGAGTTTGAACAAGCCCATTTACTGGAGCCTTTTAAGCATGGTAAGGTGAAGGATGAGAGATTCTCAGGATCTAAAGGACATGGGAGGTTATGTCACCCACGCGCCTTTCTTTCATAGTCTCCAGCTTCTTGAGTTGTGTTTTACTAAATACTAGAGATCAATCACCCTTTTTCTCTGAAAGAAAAAAAAGAAGAGTTTTACCCTCAACCCCTCCTATACCATCAGTGGAGATGAATTCAATTACACGCACATTTCACCCTTGCTCTTTCTTCTACTTATCATGAAAGTCCCAGTTAACCAGGAAAAAGGAGTTGACTAAAAATGAGAAGTATCTCAAATTGATTTTTAAAGTCTATTGAGGAACATAAAATATATGTGAGTTTTTTTAAAGGTTATTTTGTTTTGAACTACTTTTGAAATTAAAAGACTAATAGCTCATGAAATGAATGATCATTATATAGCTAGAAATATGAAAGGGACTTCTTGGAAAACATGGATCCTCGGCATAACAAGCCTCTATCATACCTTCTTATAAGTGGTTTATGGTTCAAAATTGTCTAGGGGAGCTGTTAGAATTCTAATTGCACAAAGATTTCACCAGACCAACCAGCCTATTCCACATTTCCCAATGCTCCCTTCCTCCACCAAAAGAATTAGATTCTCCTGAAGCTGTCAAACCAAGCAACACAAAATAGAAACACAAGTAAGAAATTCTTTCAAACTAGTCAATACCTCATGTCCTTGCTAGTTTCAGCATGCTGTGAAATGTGGTTCAAATAGCAGACCAGGAATGGTGTTTTGTTTTTGTTTTTTTTTGTACAGAAGTGCATCCATGGACTTGAGCAGATTGTAAATCCAAGCTGCTGGAGAAAAAGCTCATGATAGCATCCTGGGGCACCACCATGAGAATCTTAATGTGCTCTTTCTTTTTTTTTTTAAAGATTTATTTATTTATTTGAGAGAGTGAGAATGAGAGAGAGAGAGAGTACATGAGAGGGGGGAGGGCCAGAGGGAGAAGCAGGCTCCTCGCCGAGCAGGGAGCCCGATGCGGGACTCGATCCAGGGACTCCAGGATCATGACCTGAGCCGAAGGCAGTCGCTCAACCAACTGAGCCACCCAGGCGCCCAATGTGCTCTTTCTTAACACCTTATTCCTGACTTTGTTCATTTGCTTCTGATTATTTTTAGTGTTGTCAATTATTTAGCTAACAGGCAGAAAACTAGGCTTTTATTGACATCCAAAGGGACTCTCCTGAGTGTAATAATGAAGGCAGTTTATTGAATGCCTGTGAGGTTGCTTTCTAATTGTACGCATTAATCTGCCCATGCAAGCTGGCTGGAAATACACAAGCAGATTGTGTGTGCAGATGGAGCACACAGGATGGCTTTTATGAAAAGACCTCTGGAATGTACTTCTGCAGTACTGTCTTTTCCTTAAAAATCCAATGACTGTGACTATTTCAATTGGCAGCTGAGAGCAGACCAGATTAATGGTGCATTAAGTCTGCTACTCTGGCTGGGGACAGATTCATTTCACAATTTAGAATTAGTTCTAGGATTCTTGAGCATGAAAGCAGAGGGTAGAAATAGGCCTCTAACCCTGGTGTAGTTTTCACCGTTATTTTTACTCTCTCTACTTAATTACTTATAAAAAGTCAAATGTGGAACTTTTCAGGATGGCCTTTTCTATTAATATTACTGGTGGATTTGAGCATTTGAAATAATAATTAATAAACCTTTGGCTGTGCTTTTTAAAAAAAATATCAAAGGGAGGATGTTGGGATTTAGGTGATTTAAAACACTTGAGTAAAATCTCAGCATTTAGAATTTTGAATGGTAGCTTATTTTGAGGGTTGTAGTCATCTTTCTAATAATGTCTTTTGGATAGATGGAGAGAGAGGTTTGAATTCTGAGCTTATTTAATTGGTGGTGGGGGCTCATGTAGGATGGGAGAAAACGGATGCGTTTCTTCCTACCAAGATCTAAATTTTGCCTAGAGTAGGTGAAAGAAAAATTGAGGAAGTATGGGTGCTTCCTCTGATTTTCAACATATATGAATGCCATCCTCTTCCAGGTCTGACACTGAGTTAGTACCACAGTTAAACTTAGGGTCCGTGGGCTTTTGTGATCTCTCTGGGCTGTACTCTATTCCTAGATACTGTTTCTAATATTTCTAGGGGAGAAGGGGCTCAATTCTTGAAACCCCAGTTCAAAAAGCTCTTGGAACCATGTTCATTCCAAAACAGCACCACCTTGAGCTCAGCCTTTCGGTTGCAAGGTTGGGAAGTTTACTTCGTTGCAAGGTTGGGAAGTTTACTTCATTTCTACCATCAGAGCCATGCATCTCTTTTATTTCCATTTAAATAATAGTATGATTAGTTCCTCGGAGGCACATCTTCATCTATTTTAGTTTCCTAGAGTGGAGGACCCAGGCAGGTCTGCTGAATATGCACACTTAGGCCCCAAGTTTGCCTTCTAATATGCTCACAAAACTTCTAATGCCCTTCATGGGAGCTTCCAAAAGACACTTCAGGGCTAAATCGATCCCTTATCCATATGGTAGGATTAAATCCAACTTCACATTTTATAATCCAAGTAAGGTGAATCCAAAGTCATCCTGTTCATAACTTTCTATCTTATGCTAATGAAGTGAACTTATAGATAGAAAAATCCCCTATTTTGTTCAGAATAAGACTGAATATTTTATGGGAAATCTGATCTGGGAGAATCCCTGCCTAGTGAATGTTAAATCGTGCTGATGGTTAAGACCGTATCAAAATCTCTACCCACTATTGATTCTTCCTGCAGATGTCTTGGTGCACGTTAACTCATTTTCATTCCCGCTGCTACCACCTTCATGTAGGTATTTATCACATGCCACCTGCGTTATGGCTTCTGTCTCCTTGTCGTCCCCTGTACTCCTGGAATGGCTTCATTACCATCTTTGCCCACTGTCTTTTTCTTCTGGTTGCCTTACATGTTTTGTCGATTTCATTTTCTAAAGCACAACTTTAATCATGTCTCTACCCTATTCTAAAACCCTCAATTATTTCCCATTTTTTATTAGATGAATTCCAAACTCCTTAACCATACCGTGGGGGAACTGTGGCCACCTTGGTAAGAAGATATCAGACCATGCTAGGATTTGGGTCTGTGTCAGGTGATTGTAGGAGGCTTTGAGGAAGCAGGGCTTTGTTCTGGGTTGAATGGAGGCAGGAGTGATTGTGATTAGGTATCTTAATCTTTTTTTTTTTT